GGGGGGGGATTACTGGCAGACGTGAGGATTACAAAGTTGCCCATGTTTGTGAAGATGGCTGCTCTAGTGCTGTCAGCTCAGCACATTGTCAGATACTACTGTGTTCGTTTATAATCGTGCAAAGTGCAGTCGAATTTACAGCGTGTTGCAATGTGCCGTGTTTGCAACCATGCAGAAGGGGTAATTAAACCCGATATTGTGTTCTTTGGTGAAGACCTCTCCGAAGAGTTCCACACAAGGATGGCCGAGGACAGGAGTAAGGTGCGTTTCATTCACAAGTTTCTGAGACACTGCTTAGTTTAGGCGTACTCTCATAAAAATTTTTGCTCATATCTGTACTTATATCAGACAGTCGTTGTGTTGATCCCATGTCAGTGATGGCGCATACTCCAGGTCTGAGTTGCATCTCTTAATTTAGCACCTGCCACCTGTTGTTGTGCGCAGCCTCTCTGAAAACTGCTGGGGTGATTGTGTCTCGTGGCTACCACTCACCAACACGCGGTGTCAGCAGATTTTCAGCATGAAGAGCAACATGCGTTCCTCATCGAATCCTACATTTTGTTGTGGTCGCATTCGTATCCTAAACACTGCTCACATACATCTGTCGTCGTGAATCTCATTATGCACGTTTGGTTTTTCAGGAAACCTCTGTTATTTTTAGGTCGACTTATTTGTGGTTATTGGTTCATCATTGAAAGTGCAGCCTGTTGCGCGCATACCGTACAGTATTTCTTCTGACGTGCCACAAATACTCATAAATCGTGAATCGCTACCAAACTACACACCAGACATTGAGTTATTGGGAAATTGTGATGATATCGTGGCGCAACTAGCTCTGGCTTTAGGGCCTTCATACACCAATATTTTTAACAAAGGTTTGAATTTCCAGTTATTCTTTTTTGCAGTGTAGTACTATAACGCTGCAGCGATTCGTAAAAACGCTTATTTTGATGATCCTGCGTGGGTATATGTGTTTGTATGTATTCGTCTGTCCGGCTTTTCCAGCTCGGCAACCGAGCAGGCTCAAAAATTGAAATTCTGTCAATAGATTCCCTGGCCAAGTTCCAATATAAGGAGCGTGATATCAACTTTCGCGTTTGTGTGCATCTCACATATAGACGCGTGAAAGTTTCGGCGGGGAAATTGCCAACTCGGGAGGCTGGAAAACCAGAAGTCTGAAATTTTAAGGGCACGTTTCTTCACATATTACGCAACGATTTCCATTTCAACACCTACTTATGTCTAAATTTCACATTCGGATGCGTGGAATTTTAAGCAGGAGAATCGCTAACTCAGAGACTGGAGGAGCTAGAAAGCTGAGATTTTAAGGGAATATTTCCTGTCATGTACAGGATTTTCTGCATTTCATGATTTACGGGTTTTTCGGGATGTCGGAGAAGTCATTTTTCATTGGCTTGATCCGAATTCAGTGTATTACCGGGAGTTTTCAAGTTCAGTACATACGGTGCGGAAACATGAAAGTATTGATGTGGAATTTAGTAACTGGGGAACCGAAAGAGCTGAGGAGTTGAAATTTTGAGGGGATATTCCATGCCCACATACGAACGAAAGATTTCAAACTTAGCTATTAAGTAGGTTTACGTGTCACCCACGGCCACGTGAAGGTTTTAGCTGGAAAATACTAACTCGAGGATCAGAAAGAATAACAATCTCAAATTTTAGCAGGATATCCTCTATCCATGTGCAAAAGACAGCCGGATTAGTTCGCCGCGAAAACT